CCATTGGAATAAAAATGTTGTAGTAAATCAAAATATCCTATTTTAATAATGGATTTTGAAGAGTATTGCTTTTATCCATCTAGAATTCTGCTAATAAGCTAACTGCAAAAGATCAAGCTGCTTGCATGTGTTGGGCAATAATAAGCAATTTGAACCACTTTCCAGCAAATACTATAGGCCTCTGCTCAGCTGCTGTGCAGCAGCTCCAGGGATTTCAGAGGGAGATGTGGATCACGGCAATGGCAGGCATTTACACTATCTCCAAACAATCAGTGATTATTGCTCTGCAGTTTTAATTCCCTCTTTTTGCAAAATAAAAGGAAATCTTGTGGTTTTGGTGCCCACATAAGCATCCCTGCATGTGAAGTTTTCTGTAAATGGGGACCTGATAGGTATTTTGCATAATACGGTTTTTTGTGTGCGTGTAAAATTCTGCTGGAAAGCAGTAGGACAGGGTCTGGTGGAAAGCCACCGACAGCCTGGCATTCGTGCTTCTGAGCAGCAGCTTATCCACAGCACGGGGGTTTTGTGATGCCATAAAACCCGACACCTGCGGGAAGGAGAAGCCGCTGGGATGCCGGTGCTGCACCGGGGGCAGACAAAGCACCGACATGGTTCCCGATCCGCAGGGAATGCGGAGCTCTGCAGAGCCCAGCACCCGGGAGGGGGTGCAGCATCCTCTGCTCCTGCAGCAGCCCTCCCAGCCAGCTCCTCAGCCTGTCGGGACGCGCCGCGTTATCCCGCGGGCAGGCACGGGGATGGATTGCGCTCCTGGCAGCCGCTGCTCTTGTCCTTGTCGCTGGGCTCTGCTCTGCAGCGCCAGCCCAGCCCGCCCGGCCAGCCCCGCTCCCCAGGGTCCCCAACCTGCCAAACCCACCCACAGCCAGCCACAAACACTCCCTGGGAACCAGCGATTGCTCGGCACCACCGAGAGCAGAATACTTGGGCTGCACACCCATCCTAGCCAGCAAACCACAGCGTAAGGATATCTGGCAGATCTCTTGCCTCCACATTGGTAGTCACTAGCAACACGGCTTGATGAAGCCCCGCTCTGGTTGGAGAGGACCGAGCTGAATTTTCTGTTCCGTGTTCTTGACCCTAGAAGCCTGGCATTTGTTTACTGGAAAAAACCTCGCAGTTACATCTTTAAAGCTCTGCTGCTTGGCTGGCAAACAAACGCTGGGCAGTGCAGCTCTGCTGAGGCTGTGCAAAAAGAAAGCAATTGTTATTCATTAAGCAGATGACAGCGACGGGAGCTAAGGGGATAAAACTCGAAATCTGAAACCACCTGCTTTAATTTTAGCCATAATTGAAGCGGCTGCCCATGGTGCTGCTGATGCACATGTCAGATTTGCACGCCATGCGCTGCTCACAGTGATTTCTGTGGCAGCAAGCTCTGGTTCGGGCAGGGATGGAGCTCGCGTTTGATTGCAGGTTATAGCGGGTACTTGAGAATCTGTTTGTTTCCTTCCAGCAGCAAAACACAGTCGCAGTCTGCCTCTCTGATAGACAGATGCTTTAGTCATTAGTGAGGTTTCTGTGGCTACAACACTGTGTTCTAGTATGGGTGCTCTTTCCTCTTTTGTTCCTGGTTCAAGGCAGCGATGCTTGTTTCGCTCTTGTGCTCATGCGCTCACTCTCTTCCTCTCCCTCCCTCCCTCTCTCTGTCTTTGATCTTGCTGATATGGGGGAAAATATCGGATCCAAATCTGCAGCATATTTAACCAAAACATCCTGTAGAATGGGAATAAATTGTGACTGAGTGCAGCAGCAGGAGATTGCAGTATGGTTGCTTGTACTGCTTGCTTTCTGCTACAACAAAACAACAGCAATTGTCATGGAGTGCCGGGGTTGTTCTGCAGCTAAATAAGCACGTAGGGACTCCACAGAGGGCTAAGGTGGCTTTACTGGGAGCAGGGAGACTGGGCAAAGCTCTCCTCTCACAGTCTCTAATGCAGGGATTTGTGTGAAAGAGGTAAAACGGGAAGAGATCTTTCCTAATGGCAGAGAGGGTCTCATCCTTCACTAAATTCCCCGGAGTTTTTGCCACAGAGTTCAATGGCCCTAAGATAACACTGTCACTTTATACCCAACCTTGTTACAGTACTAGCAACATAAGCCCCAGAGCTGGGGAGCTCACAGCAATATCAGTGAAGGCAGGAAAAGTCTTGACCTCAGCTGCAGAGTGAAATGTTAAGAGTGGGAGCATTAACAGTCTCTCCTTGAGCTATTTGGTGCAGATTTATACTGCATGTGTTTGTATGTGCATGCCAACTCCCAAAAGCTATGAAAAGCTTTTTTATGGTTTCCTGTGATGATACATAGTCAGAAGGGATACTTGGATGAATAAAGAAATATGCCACGAAATGGGGAGCAGGTGAGCTGCGTGGCAGATGTGTGTTCTGTCCTTTGTTGTTGCTGCTGCTCCTCAGCTAATAGCACAAGTGCTGGGAATAAGACAGAAGGCTTAACTCCACTTGGGATTCTGCTTAGGAGAGCCTCACTGCTTTAGAGCATAGCACGTTGTGTGATGTAAGATCCCCAATCCCTTCTGATCAGCATTCCCTACTAAGCATGTCTTCATTTCCCCCTTTACTGATCATTTACAGCTGTTTACTTATTTCACGGGATTCTGAGAGGGCTGAGGCAGTAACTGGGCTGTGCTGCTCTGTAATGCAGCCCAGAGCTGGCGCCGTGTTTCAAGTGGCCAAATGAGATTTGCACTCAAGTCCCAGCAGACACTGTTTGTCTCAGTCAAAGGAGTCCACATTTTTCTGGGGTCTGGTATCTGGACATCTTCCTTGTCACAACAAAGAGGAGGATGGCTATGGCATCCAGACAGTCGAGGTGTGTTACCTCTCCCTGTACTTGGTAAACTGCCAGCACAGCCTTTTTTGCTCTGACATGTGGATGCTCCCATCTTGAAGGAGGCGTGAAATGTTCTGCAGACATGCAATATCTCCCTGACCTGCTGCTATCAGTTTGGAAAGGGAGTTGCAGTGATTTTGACCTGCAGTCTTTTTATCACTCTTATAATAAGTCTAATACCTGTATTTAAATAATGAATTGTGAGCAAATAGCAACCTTATGGGCACTTTCTGAAAAAAAAAGTTACTGTCAGAAAATGGTGAGCTCCAAAGTAATATCTTTGACAGCCTTTCCTCTATGTAGTCCTGATAATAAAGAGGACACCAAAAATCCTGTCATGTTGTTTGAGTTCCTCCGTTCACACAGCTGAGCTAAAAGGCAATGCACGTGTTCATCCTCCACCCGTGTGTATTTTCCTTCTATGTACATTTAAATAATAGATTCTTCTTTTATTTGTCAAATTATTTGCTTTGTTAAGTACCAGAAAGAAGTAATTGCTGTGCCCACAAGACAAGTGACACCTGTGACCATCCCAGATTGTCTCCTGCAGACTGTGCTGGGAGGTGGGTGCATGGTGACACATGACACATGTGCCCCACCTTACACACCCCTGAGGGAATGCTTTGGAAGTGCTCTCAGATCTCCAGATTTTGGTGCAGCTTCAGAGAATGTTCCAGTTAGACTGAAAAGATAGGCATCCATTTCTTCAACAGAGAGGAGTTTTATGATGTTACAGGTCCACATGTGGCTCTCGTTTGTCCATCCCCAAGGGGTGTCCTTGCAGAAAGACCAAAAGGGTTTGAATTCTTACCAAAGCTCATACTCCTTTGAAAGCTACACAGCCAAGCAGATGCTTTACCGTGAAAGAGGACATCCTTTGAAAACAATCTGGTGCTTATTAATCAATAAGAATTCAGTGTTAGGGGTCCTTCAGCAAGAAAAGAGAAGGAAAGCACATGTGGGTCTGGCCTCCTGAGTGAAAACATGCAGGTTGCATCCCTGTGCTCTGCTGAGGAGCAGATTTTGTATGGCACTGTTATGTCAGCACTTTGCTCTCAGTTGCAGTGACATTTGGCAGGATGCTTATGTTGAGACTGCCTTAGACCAGGCACCAGGCCATTCACCTGCTCACTGGTGCTGCCCTGTAGATATCTAGATTCATTAGGCTCTCTCTTAGCCAGAGAGTTCTCTGGACACTTAATTTCACACACCCACATATGCTCAGAAGTGCCATTTCTGGGAAGGCAGGCTCTTGGATCTTATTTAAAGCTTTGCTGTGTTTTTGGTTTATGTGGGTAGGCACCTGGACTCTCTTATTTCTGTTGCAGAGGACTACAAAATTAGTCATAGACAGGATGAAGTCCTGTGCCTCACCTCCTGCCACACAACCAGTGCTCTCACTCAGACACTGGGAGAAGGGGTCTGGGCACTGCTCAGCCTGAGGGGTTTGTTCCAGTACCAGCTCTGTCTCAGGAGAGCACCCTCAGCATCCCTCCTTTCACTGCTCTGCAGCTGTATCCTGAGAAATACAAGGTCAGGATTAAAATGTGAAAGGAGAGAGAGGGTACAGAGGGGAGTGGTAACCAAATCCAGTTATCAGGGTGTTGCAGGGGAAGGAGAGTCCCTGGCCCTCCTCCCTGGTGTGTGTTACACATTTTACACTGTGTACCACCATCAGCACAGCAAACACCACTGGGAGAGTGTCCTGTTTTCCAGCTGCAGAGTCCCAGAGTCCCATCTGTTCCCCATTTGTTGCAGAAGTTATTGAGGTGGCTGTGTGAGACAGGCAGGATTACCCTCTGGGCTTCGATGCCTTTGATGAGGCAGCATCTGAAGTTAACACTTAAATTAAGCAGAGTTGATTTTATTGCCTTTGTGTATTATAATGCCCATGAAATCATTAAAACTTTGTGTGTGCTCCTGAGTCTTCTGCTGTCTCCCTGCAGTATTTCAGTCATGCTGACTTTGCCTGAAACACCAGCAGCTGTCTTCCCTTCCCCACCCCAGCAGGCAGCAGGACCTCCAGGGCTGCAGGATACCTGTGCTAGCACCTCCATGGCTTGGCAGGGAGGCTGGGATGAGGGACACCACTTTTGGGAATAATCTTTTTTCCACTGCTTTCTGTCTTACAGATTGATGAACTTCCTGAAGGAGCCGTCAAGCCTCCAGCAAACAAATACCCCATCTTCTTTTTTGGGACTCATGAAACGTAAGTGAATGGGCGTGACCTGTTCCTTTGGAAATGCCTTTTTCCACTGCAGCTAACATAAATTCCTCTGATTTCATTGAAAAAAATGCTGACTGAAGCCATTGGGAGCCTAGAGAAAGGTCCTGCAAGCCCAACTTGTTGGTATTAACAAATGGGAGTGAAAGCTGAAAGTAGCTGGGAATGCTGCTGCCTTCATGGTCTAGCATGAACTAAACATAAAAGCTGTGTATCCTGTAAAGAAATGTGTGGGCATGAATTCATAAAAGGGTCTGAAAAAGCCCTGAACTCAGAGGCAGGGGCAAACATTTTGTACTTGGATGTCCATGATAGCAGAGATCAGGCTCTTGTGTTTGGACGTGTTGGAGCTCGTGTCCTGTGTGAGAACTTGGCAGTTTGTGATGTGAAAGGAAGCAGACCCCAGAGTCTCAGGCAGAGCTTCAGAATATGTGCATTCCTGGGATCTGTGCTGGGGTATTGTAGGATGGAGCTCACAGAAGTGATAGAAGAACTGAGCTGGCTGAGCTCATAGGGAAAGAAAAGAATCAGAGCACAAGAGGTAAGTTAGGTCTCAGCATAATTGCTACAAGGTACAGAGTTTCAATATTATAATGTACATGTCTCTAGTTTAAACTATGTCTGAGATAGCTAAAAAATAAGTCACATTCCATTCTGCAAAATATCTTAATTTAAAAATTTTTCCCATTTGCAGGTAACATGTTTTCTAGAATTCCTTTAAAACTGGAAAAATGAAATTCTGATAATATTTTAAATTCAATGCTAGAGGCTTGAAGGTTTATTAAAAATTTATTGTTTATTTTTGAATTTTAATGTTATTCGAGAATATTATGAGCTCCATAGCTCATACATCACATTTTATTTTTATAAAAATCTTTAAAGGCAGTTTCTGCTTTATAAAGTTCATAATTGCCTCTCTTTAGTTAAAATAGGTCTTCTATTTTTCCTAGTTTCATTGCTAGAATGAAACAACCTGATGTTTCGATATATTGTAGTCCACTAGTACTGTCACAAAATAATCTGAAAATAATAAAGTTTAAATAAACTTACAATGCTTTCAAATCAGAAACCAAAATGTAATTATTTTTCAAATGGAAACATAATTTTTGAGAAACATTTAAGAAAAAAACTGACCACTTTTATTCCGAAATGAGTGAGTCCCAAACTGATAATCTCTTTTGAATTGGATTTTGTGAGCTCATGATCTCACTGTAGCATCTGATACAGAAAAACAGTTTGTAGTTCATACCTCATAAATGTAAAAGCCTATTAAAAATGAGCTGTAGATTGCAGCTCCTTAGTTTTATAGCAGAGCAGTAGAAACTTGTACTCTCCCAGTGGCAATGAATGCATTTCAAGCAAAGATGTAGACAGTTTTCAGTGTTTACTTTACATAAAAGGCTGTAGAAACATTTCCATGCATTGCTGTTGAGCTAAGTTAAGGCAGCTCATACTAAGTTTCATACATTTTTTCTTTGTTATTTGTGTTAGAACTGTTTGTTTATATTTTTGACAGCAAGGAGACATCTCCTGGTATTAGCAAAAGCATAGATAACATAATTTATTCAGTGTAGCATTTAATATTAACATGACATCTGTTAGTTTGGAAATCACTGTTTGGCTTTCAGGTAGAAATGCATTCTTGGCTTTGTAATTATATAATTAAGATATTTTTCAATATCCCATGCTGTCTCAGGTGGAGTTAGAAGGAAGCTCTTCCTCAGGGACTTGTCATCTGATGACTTTTTAGCAACCATTTGGCTCTGCACTGGCAAACTGCTTGGCCAGTGGGATGATTTAAGTGAATGGAACTTTGCACATTCAGAAATGCAGGACATAAATCAGGCATTAATCTGAAATAATGATTGCAGAAAGGAAGAAATATTATCCTGTGATTAAGGTATTAGACTGAGACTGAAGAGAGCTGTTTTTTCCTCTGCTATCAGTTTGAGTTTGACCTTGGACAAATCCTTGTGCCTCAGAATCCCATCTGCAGAAAAGGGCAGACTCCCAATGTGGTGGTGAGGTTACAACAATAAATGTGTTGGACATGGTGGAGCTCCACAATCCCACAGTAATGGAGACCAGAGAGTTAACATGAATTGCAAAGATCATCAGGAATAGGACAGTGATTATGGTGAAGGACACTGGGACTTGCTCAGCTCTGCTCACTGATGACACAGAATCTTTACATGTGGGAATGAAGAGGTGTTTTTGCCTTCATTGTTTTAATTTGACTTGTGATTACAATCTCAATGTCACCATGCAGAATACAGTAGATATAGATACCCAACTAAAAGAAAGTTATGCTTCCTTCAGTTTAAGAGTTAAGAAGAAGTTAGAGTTTTACTGTAATGTGTGTAGAAAAAGCAGGACAAGCCATCACTCTTCTTTTTTTTTATAATTATTTTTCCCTGCATTGTGGTGCTTGTGCCTGAAATTAGTTGGCCCAGTGCATAGCTGACTTAGGCAGCAGCAAAGCACAAAATCCATCCTTTGCTGTGCTGTCTAAAAAACTATTTGGCCACAAGCACCCTGTGTGTCTCATTGTTTCCTTGTATTACTCATCTGCCTATATTCATCCATTGTTTTTTGTTCTTATATGAAATTATAAGATTTTTGGGAAAGAGCATTTTTATTGTGTTTGTGCAGAGTTTAGTGTGTGGGGGGCTAATTCCAAGAAAGCAGCTCCCAGGCTTACTGGCAGTATAGATAATAATAAATGCCACTGCTTTTTCTATCCCATAGGACCAGGGATAGATTTTGGCTCATGGGTCCTAGGCACTCCTTACATGCTTAACTTTTCATGTGGCATCTTTGAGGCCTTTCTGGATTTATAACTCTAGGATTGGAAGCTTGGTCCCTTGCTATCGCAAGCAATGACATCATAAACTGTTTCATAAACTTCCATAAACTGTCCAAGTGCCAGTTCCCAGCAGTAGTTAATAAAATAGAGATGTTTCAGTTGTTTCTAGAGATACCCAGCATGATTTTACTACATCAAACATCAGGATGGTGAGCCAATCCATTAAATCAGACTCACAGCAGTAACTGTATGACAAAATAAATAAATAAATAAAGCTAGAAAATAAATTATCGAATGAGCAGAAGAACAGTGAAAGCATTTGCACTGTTAATGTTATGATTTTTTTGAGGAGGAGAGTGATAAGTCCTTCTTTGAATGTTCCCTCTGTTAAAATGCAGTGCGTTCCTGGGGCCCAAAGACCTTTTCCCATATAAAGAATATAAAGATAAGTTTGGGAAATCGAACAAGCGAAAAGGATTTAATGAAGGCCTGTGGGAAATAGAAAACAACCCTGGAGTAAAGTTTACTGGATATCAGGTAAATGACTTTCCCACCTATTGCTCCTGTCTTTCTTGTTTTCTTCTTGTCAAAGTGAGTGTTTTAAGAGTGATGTGTAAGGTTCTGGTTTTGATAGAGCAAGAAAGTTTCACAGCTCTGGTAATTGTGTAATGTAAAGACAACTGTGGTCTCACACTCTGTTACAAATGGAACTTTAATCATACTGCAGAGCCTTTTGCTTTCTGTGACATTCTGGGGTGGTGAAGTGGAAAATTCTGCAACACATTTAGTTAAATTAAAAATGGATGGTTTTATTTACTCCTGTACAAACATGAATAATTTCTGACTTCTTCTTTCTGTTGTTTATTTTTATGTCAGGCTCCATGTATTTTACACAGACCTTAAGGTCACTGCACTTTGGATTTTTACATTTGGCAGTGCCAAAGCTAAGAGGAGAGGTGGAGGGTTAAGCTGCTGGTAGGAGACAGTTGCTGCTGTACAACAGCTCTCCCTGTTGGGTGTCCAGAGCAGAAAGTCAGTGAAGCTGGAGGGGGAGAAGAGCAGTTGGTGGGCTGTATAAAACACAGAACTTTTCTCATTAAAAAAATGTGGTCCTTTGAAGGCAGGAATCACCTCCAAAAGCAGGCAAACACCTATTACATTATTATCACAAAACACTACAAGCCAGAGATACAGACCACCTGCAGAAAAGCTGCTGCCTCTCTCAGTTCCTGTTTCATATTTTCAGCCCTACACATGTTTTGCATACACTTGGGGATTTAAAAAAAATCCAGAGAATAGTCTGTGGGAGATGGGCTGTCAAAGAGTGCTCAGCCTGCTGGTCAGGGTTTGCTTTTCCAAAACACAGAGATCTTGCCCTTTGAGGGCAGTGTAACAGTCATCTTCTCTCACAAAAAAGTCTCTGCTGTTGCAGCCAAAGTCTGAAAGTTTCAGTAGTTTTTCCCAGAGTGGAACATGCCAGGTCTCTCCACTGAGCAGCCCTTAGCTCTCCTCCAGCTTTTGTTATTGGATATTCTGTTTCTATGTAAACCCTTCAGAACATGCTATCCCAGAATCTGCATCTGATAACTGAGTTCAAGTGGTGACTGAGAAAATTGCCTTTGCAGCCCTTTTTCCTGATAATTGCAAAAATAACCTGAGCTCTTCCTAGCAATTAAATTGTAAGCTGTCCATTTCCATCTATCTTCAATGCAGAACAAAAATCAAGTAATAGGTATTAGTGGTATTTCTATTGTTGATCTTATTATTGTTTTTGTTATTTTAAAGGCAATTCAGCAACAGAGCTCATCAGAAACTGAAGGAGAAGGAGGAAATACAGCAGATGCCAGCAGTGAGGAGGAAGGTGATCGGGTAGAAGAGGATGGAAAAGGAAAAAGAAAGAACGAAAAAGCCGGCTCAAAACGAAAAAAATCCTACACTTCAAAGGTTATCTTCTGACTTTTCCTGTTGTTATCCATGGGCATTTATAATGGAATACTGTTCACCTCATGGAAATTCATTCTTCCTCCTTTAGCATTTTGATTCTGATACCGTGACAGTGGTGTTCAAATAGGCTAAGGGGAGTGCTCTTCCTTTGTAGACAGCCTTGGTGAGACACCAGTTGAAAAACTCTGCCCTCTTCTAGTGCCCACACACTGAGAAGGTGAAATTATGGGAAGGAGATCAGTAGGGCTGGAAAGAAAACCCATGCAAAAATGGATTCATAGGTTTGATCACCTCAGATAGGTCTCTCCCCAAGAAGAAAAAAAGCCTTAGGAGTGGCCTCCTGAGGGTCATGAGCTCAGGTTTGTTTCCTGTCCATGAGAACTGAAGCTTCCCCCTCCCATCTCCCAGGAAGGTCTGATAGGGCCAGAAGTGCTCAACTGCTCCTCTTGTAGCTGAGTGTAAAACACTTGAGTCCAGATACAGAATGGGAAGGTGGAAGAACTGGTTCATTAAGCAGGATGCTCAGTTTGTAGATATCAGACCTGCACTGTAGTACCCACCAGCCCTGTTAATGTCTTAGGTAACAGTGTAGATCAGGAAGCTGAGAGTGATGTGTCTGTCTCACAGTGGCTGGTGGACAAAATCCCCCAGAAGTGACACCTTTGGGTTCAGATAGACTTCTCACCTGTCACCTGGGGTAAAGGGGAGCAACATTATAGTCACTTCCTCTGCTTCTGTGTGTGCCTCCAGGGCTGCACTTCCCCTGAAAAGTTGTGTAAAATGTGGCAGAGTCAATTTATTCACATTCATGTTATTCTTCTCTGAAAGTGAAAACTAATGGAAGTGAGAAAAAGCAATCAAACAATCTGATCCAGGCACAGTCTGGGGGAGAGTGTGAATTTTTGTGGTTGATCCACCAAACAAAATGTATTTTCACCCCTTTTGTGTGTTTTACATCAGAAATTCAGGTCTGGTCTACCATCTTCTTTCAAGAAGCCTCTGGGCAAACAGAGGATTATGAAAATGGTGGCTTAATGCCACAATTTATCCTTTTGTACTGTAGAATTGAATAACATAAAGGGATGTAAAGGAAAAAATGTATTGGTTCCACATGGCTCTAATGTTAATATATTAAAGCTGACAGCACTAAAAAAAGTATGGAAAGCAGCTCTGCTAATGCTATTCTCATTTTACATCTCTGTGTTTAATCAAAACTTTTGCCAAGCTGGCACCATCTGTTTCATTAACTAACAAAACCTACAGGTGACCCAGCACTAATACCCAGCTCCTATTACTGTGTCTGTCTTTCAGTCAATTGAGCTGCCAACCTGTGCTGAACACAGAATTTGAGAAATTTCCTTCACTGGTGGCAGTAACTCCAGCTACTTCACCTGAAAAATGCTTTTCACCCCATGTATCCTCCCCAATATTCACCTTGAACAGGGAATGCATGATCAGGCAGTATTCCACATAATTCTTTTATGACTGAAGCTCAGGTTTATGCTTTTCACCCCATGTATCCTCCCCAATACTCACCTTGAATAGGAAAATGCATGATCAGACAGTATTCCACATACTTCTTTTATGGCTGAAGCTCAGGTTGTAATTTTAACTTTGTTGTTGATCATTTTAGAAATCCTCCAAGCAGTCACGGAAATCTCCTGGAGATGAAGATGATAAGGACTGCAAAGAGGAAGAAAATAAGAGCAGCTCTGATGCTGGGGACGCAGGCAATGACACAAGAAACACTTCTTCAGATTTGCAGAAAACCAGTGAAGGGGTAATCCACTGTTCCTGTCATTCACTTCCCATGCAGTTTGCTCCTGGGGGCTTTGGAGCCAGGGTGACCTGCGTGTGCCACGTGCCACCTTCTTGGGTTACATTTCAGTGCTCAGAATGTGTCTAGAGCAGAAACGTGGACTTGGTGCCTGCAGTGGTACAAATTTTGCTCTAGAGAGATGACTGAAAACAAGCATTATTTTTGTTCTGACACTTGCATAGATGTCAGCTGAGAGGAGCTACTGAAAACCATGAGCTGGAATGTTGCAAAATTGATGTGAGAGCAGAATCAGACTGTTTGCATAATGCATGTTGGCTCACTAACAGAGGGAGCCTGCTTACCCTTTCACACTTGTTTCATTTGTGGGGTCCCAGTGTCTTCTTCAGGTTCTTGAGGGTTCATGTGCTCATGACAGACTCTGCATACTGCAGGTTCCAGGGCAGATGCTGCCCTGGGCTGGGACCTTCCAAGGATGGGCTATGCAGTCAGCTCCAGAGCAGCTTCATTCAATCTCCTTGTGTGTTTTGTCAGTTGTGTGTTCATATCAATATTCCTTTGTTGTGACCACAACAAGAGGAGGGGAAGGCTGAGCAGGAGGATTAGCCTGGCAGCTGGTTACTCAGCCACCTTTAACACCCCCTGCTATTTCTGAGCCTTTGGAGCAGCACAAGCCTCCCTGCTGCAGCACTTGGAGCTCCAGCTCAGCAGCAGTCCTTGTGCAGCCCCATGCCAAGGCTCTGCCACGTGGGCAGCAGCCGGGCTGGGCTGTGGCAGGAGCTGAGTGACACGAATCCCCAGGTGTGAGAGGAGGCCAGCCAGCACAGCTCAGCTGACACTGCTGGGGTGCCTTAGCACCCGGCTGCCTGCTCAGCCCTTCTCACAAAACACAACCTCTGGGGAGCTGCTGCTGTCTCCCACTCAGATTCCTCCCAGAGCTTCCTTTCCCTGTGTCTCTCTGCAGTGCAGTGTAGTTGTTTTGTGACTCTGCTTTATAAAGACTTTGGTGGGTGGCTCATGGGGTCACAAGGAAAACTCACACTCCCATTCACTCTGAACAAGCTGCTGGCTTCAGCCAGGGACTGATGCAAGGAGACACTGCCCAGCTGTGCCCTCCCAGCCTGGCAGCTGTGCCCTCCCAGCCTCTCACCCACAGAGTGTCAGAGGCTGATAAGGGTGGCCCACATTCTGCCTAGTGAACCCTGTGACACTTCCACGTCTTCAAATAGGTATTTGGGTGAGAAAACTGTTTGTAAGGTGAATCTGAGGTAACAAGAGGTTCACGAGGCCCTGCTGTGTTTCCCGTGTTTGTGGCAGTGACAGGGGATATGTCTGTGAACTTCAGGCACATTTTCCATGTAAGGACAAAGAGCAAAGGTCACTGAGTTAGGTCAGTCACAGGCTAAGTGGCTAAAACATCACACAGGATGTTGGCTTTGTGGCTGTTGACATTCATATGGCTCTTTCTTCTGGGTGTGACAGGCTTGTGACATGCTTGGGAGGTAGAGTCCACCATGCTACAACATCATGGTGCTTCTCAGTGTTTTCAGGATTACAGATATTTTAGCCTCTGTGCTGAAATACTGAAATACTGTCAACAGTCTTATCCTTCCTGCCAGCACCAACTTGAAGAAATATCCAGAGTCAATATTGTCATACCCATGTGGGGAAGTGGCTCTGCTCTGACTTCTGCAGCCCCACCACACAGCCTTGCACTCATGCTTGAGCAACCAGTCTGTTGCTAGGTCTTGGATGCGTTTAATGTTATAAAAAAGGTGGAGTTTTAGTAATACAGATTAAAGAGACAATGGCGTTGTGGTTTTAAGGGCAGCTTGAGATAAAAGCACTGATAAGTTTGGAAAAGTTCGTGTCCTGATCCTTATATTTCACCTTGGCCATTTCCGCTGCAAAGTCATCATTTCACACAGGAATCTCTTCAGCGTTCCATTGAGGTTTTGTCAGTAGTGCAATTCTCTTTGAGGACCAGGAGGGGACACTCCCTCTCCTGCTGCTCCCAGAGCCAGACCAAGTGTCCTTTCAGAAGGTGTGCCTTTAGAAGACGCAGGGCACTTGGGGGAAGAGCAGCAGGTTCTTTTTCAGCTGGTGTTAAACAGCCAGTGTCCCCGCAGTGTCCAGGTTGGTGACCGGGGCACGGGGCCAGCTGTCTGCTGGACACTGCAGCCACGTCCTGCTGGACACCAGACTGAGCCTCTGCTGCAGGGCACCGAGCTCCTCCAGCCCACGCTCCTGGGCTTCTCTGCTGTGGAAAGGAAGGTTGAAAAACACCGCCATGCACCTGGAGAGTTGGGATATATGATCCTTCCGTTCAGACGTGAGTTCAGGTGTCTCGACCGGCTGAAGACACCAGCACAGATGAGAGAATGTCTCCCCAGGATGACGGAGCCCTGAGCAGGCCGTGGGCCAGCACAGGCGGTGTGCCGAGGATGGGTTCCCCAGCCCTGTCCCCGGATCCGCCCCGCCGGGACGCGGCTGCTGCCATCAGATGGCGCCCGGCCCCTCCTTTTGTTCAAAGCACCGTGAACAAAGATATCAACACCCAAAACAGGGCCCTCATCCCAAGCACGGGTGTGTTCCATTCCCCTGCTCTGCTCTGCTCACCGAGGCAGGCACACGAGGCTTGGCCACCCTAGCCAAGGTGCTCCCCCTGGGCTGAGAGCGCCTTCGGCCCCTGTGCAAGAGTTGCCTCGAGCAGACAAGCTTTTCTCTTAATAAAACTACTAATAAATGATGTAGTAATTACCTTTTATAATGCCTGGACTGCAGGCTGAAGACCCATCTCTCCTCCTCTGATCAGATGGAATCCTGCCTTTTAATCACACTCTTACCCTCAGCATTACAGGGATCTTCTTGCAGGGCTACCAGCCAAGGCAGATGATTGCAGGAGCACCTTCACCTATAGTTTTTAATGAAAATTCTAACCTCCAGGTGGTGGAGGTAAGCTTCAAAATGTGAAGTGATGGCTTCCTGAAGACTCAAACCCAGAGCAAATAAAAGTACTTTCAGAGCTATTATATTTTTTTCAGCCAATTTCATACTGTTCAAGGGCTCAAATTGTGATTTTCTTTTTATCCCTTGGGTAGACAAAGGTGCTTTCTTTTTTTTTTAACTCTACTCTTAGTTTCTGAGCTATTCTTGAGTACTACAGGCATTCTCAACAACATGTTTCCTCATTCCCAACCACAGTTGGTAGTTGTGTCCCATCACTACTTGTTCTTCAAGCTCTTTCCCTAACTGCTGATCTTTGTCTGATTCCTTCCCCAGAAAGATGCACAGCCTGAAGCTCGGGGGTTAATCATCCAATATTAATTAACTAATAGTGTATTAGCTAAGACAGCCCATCCCAGAGTTTGTTCAGATCTTGAGTCACAGAATCTTCACAGAACTGTTCCCTGCTGTTAAATACTAAATTGTTTTGGCTTTCTCAGAATACCATGTAAAGAGAATGTTCTGGTGGAAAGGTATTCATGGCTCTGTGTTGTTTACTTTCATGGCATTAAATTAGTTCATAAATCAGAGAATTCATGGCAGCAGATTTACATTCCTCATTTAAATCTCTGGTGACTTGTGTCTTTAGTTCTTGGCTGGCATAACTCTGAATCTTTGTAACTGAACACCTAAACTGCTTTTTACTTTACTTTCTGGATGGCCACATACTCATGTTCAAAAGCTGGCTGTGGTTCTGTCCTTATTAGAGAGTGTTTGGAGGTCAGGGCCAGCACACAGGGTGTGTGGCAAGTTTTCATTTTGGTATTCACTGTTTCCGTGACAGTCTGGGCAGTGTATTGGTAAAGGAGGTATTTGCTTGGTGTTCAGGTGAAGCAGGTGAATGATTTTAGTGTCTTCAGAGAAGAATAAATTTGCTAGAAATGAGATACATTTTCTTGCTTCTGGTGCAGCCTGAATATTAAAATGGAGTAAAGGACTGTGGTCCTTTTTCTCACACTGACAATCAGTTACCAACTGAGTCAGTGGATCTATTTGTGGAGGCAACTGCCAGCATGAACAAGGGGATCAAAATCTGGTCCAAAATTATTGCCATCTGACACCATTGCATTTGGGAGAACATATTTAAAACAGCCTGTGTCCAGGCTTTTTTGTTGTGGCATTCTTGTGGGGTAGCAACAATCCCAGTTACTGCTGTGAGGTACAAGTGTAATGGCCAAACTGGCCAGAGAAATGCAGGTTCACTGTGTCCTTCTGATGTGGTTCTGAGACTTTTGGTTCCTTTGCTCTTCTTTACTTATCAGGAATAACATTAGTCAGGCTGCATAACAGGTTTGGGGGCTTGTCAGCATTGAAAGCATTGCATTTAGGGCTCGGTTCAGTGTAAAAGCATTTTGTACAAAAAATGAAAACAAAGTATGTTTTTCTGTCTGATTTCTTTTCCTGCAGTTGGAGGTACAGTAAAATCTACCCTTCAAAGCAAAAGATAATAGTTGTAAGAATGTGTCTAAGTATTGCACGGTAAAAATTTCTATGTAAAAATCAAATAGTGGCATAGTATATGGTGTAAGGAGTTGTATTTGCTGCCTTCCAGTAGCTCAGGATAACAGCACTGCTGGCTAAGGACGTGGGACATAACTCAGAGGAAACATAAATGTCTAAATGCAAGTTGAGATTAAAGCAGCCAGTACAGATGAAATATTTGCAGCTCTGTGTACATTGAGTCCTGTAATTGAGTCCTTTGACCTCAAACCAACACGGAATAACAACTATTGTACAAGTAAACAATTATCTTTCTGCCCATGCAGTTTTACAGTACAGGATGGCTGAATTAGTTGCCAGACACTGTTAAGGAAGTAATCTTCAGTGCCAGAAAAACAGACGGCAGTTTGTGGATTTAGTTTTGTTCCCTGCTCTGTTTTCTGTGTGCTGCCATTGATAACAGAAACTTTGCTCTCGAATCAGTCAGATCCTGTGCTCTCTCCTTTGTGTGCAGCATGGCACACGTTGTACCATAGCTCACAGTGAAGCTGAGAGACTTGTTCAAACAAAGATGTTTGAGAGTTGATCTGTTTCTGGAGAGATGTGAAACCATGGAGACCAGGGGAGGTGCTCGGCGCTGCCGCATCCCTGAGCAGCAGGAGCTGCAGGAGCTGCAGGAGCTGCAGGGCTCCCTCAGCTGCATCCCTGAGCAGCGTTGCCCTGCAGCTCTCTGTGCTGGGGACAGCCCCTGCTGCCTCTGGGCTACTGCCACTGCACCCGGAGGCACAGCACATGATGGAACATGCCACTGGAAACTGAAAAGCCTAGAGGGTGACTTGTGTTATCTGTCTCTTTGTTGTCCCTCCCGTGCCACGCTGTGGCCCAACAGCTGTGACACAGTGTGAGGAGAGGCATTAATGTTCCCAGCACCCACGTAATGGTGATCCTACCCAATCTTCTGGATGCAGACCAGAAGGGAATTGTGGTTAACAATTGCAAAAGTTTCATGCTCCCAAGGACATCTTTCTGTACTGGAGCTGAGAGTTACAGCACAGGAAGCAGCTGTGTTACCCCATCCTACCTGTCAGTGCTGGGCAGCTGATGCTTTCTTAGCAGAAAGCAGGGTTGGATTGACTGATCATGTGAAATTGTTTTAACGGGTGTCTGAGTCTGAAGGGAAAGGAACAGCAGTGAATCCCCCCAAAGCATCTCTATGATCTCACTGACTCTGAAAGAGGAGAGAGGCCTCTGGAGTGTGGTGTGCTGGATGGGCAGCACAGGGTTACCCCTGTTGGGGGAGTCAGGGCTCCAGCAGTTCCTGTAAGCCATCGCTGCATGCCTGAGCACTTGATAATAACCCCTGATTGTTAGCCAGGATGTACCAGGACCTCCCACACGGAAAGCACAGGTTTCCATTTTTACTCTTGACAAACCACTTGTCACAGGAGAGAACTGCACTGACCAAAGACAGGGAAGGTATTGTAGTGTTGTAGGAGAAGGGATGCCTTGCCTAGAGGTGGGTGGTCGTGGTGCACTGCATGCTGTCATGTTGCTGGCTAATGTAACCTGTCCCAGGGCCAGCAGGTGAATTTTGCCATCTCTGTTCAATTGGAGGAAACCAAGACTTGTATCACTTGCTGTGATCATGTGAGGACAGTCTGATCCTGATCCCACTAATGTCAGGGAAAGCAAGAGCTGACCTTGACTCACCCGTGGGAGTTCCTTTTCTGTCATCACCTTACAGTGAACTGGAGCCAAGCTGTTTCCTTTTCAGAAGCAGCACTTGGATCCCTTAGTGATGAAAATGTTTATCTTTGTTCATGCTTGCTAAGCTTTCCTGTCTTTGAACAAGAGGGTGTTCTTGTGGCTGGACATCCAGGAATGCAGCAGTGCCTGAGCTCCTGCACGAAGCTCATCAGTGATTTTGAAAAAACCAAAATTTGTTTGTGCCTGAAGTGTGCTACAAGGTTTGTAATGGAGTGATTGGGGAAAATCCCACCCACATATATCACTGGAGCTGCCTATTGAATACAGCCCTAAATGTTTACTTTTAAACTGTGCTTACTAATATTTTGCAGTGATATGTTTAGTTGATGTAACAAAGAAGTTTTCTCTAGAAAAAAAATTGTTTGAACAGACCAGGTGGTTACTTGTACCTGTGACTTAGAAGTGTGGAAATATAACCTCAACTGTATCAAGTTAGATGCAGCATGTTATTTCTTACATTAAATGTGACTTCTTTCTCTTTCTCTTTCAGACTTAACCAACATAATGACTGCTGAATATTAAGGGAAAACACAAGAAGGTTACATGTTTGGTTGTCTAATATTCTTGGATTTGATATGAGTCACCACATCTGTTCATTAGTACCATCAACAGCATCCCAGTTTGTATGCACATTATTCACATTCCTATCTGTTGTGTTTGCAGAAATGACATTTTTACCCTTTTTTCTAAGGGTTACTTTTTGATTTTCATATTATTTGGTTGCATGAAGTTGCCCTTTTCCAGTGGCTGAGGTTTATGAAGATATTGCATACTTGAACATGTCTTAGATTCCTTTTCGAGACAGAAAAGGCATAACTCCAAATTATATCATTCTAAATCAACATTTTTAAACACAACTAAATCTTAGAATGAGTCCCCTCCATACAATGCTACAATAATCTTCCACATACAAACATAATTTTAAATTTTCCTAGATCCATTCTCTCTTGGGTTTTGATCAATTTACAACATAAAAGAAAAATTCTTCTTCAGTTGAAATCACCACCAAGTTCAATAATGTAATAAAATACCTTTCCTTATTAGAAGTACCTAGCTAGTTATACTCTTAATACTTCTCCAAACCATGATGTAATGTACACTATCTGACTTAGTTCCTATATGTGGAGTTAGTGAAAGTCTTTTTGTGTTTCTTTAGATTAATACAAGGATTTTTCCAATGCCAACACAATTTGAAATCATTCATTTGGATGCTTTCCATTTTTAAGCTTACTGTGATATACAGCCCTATGGGAAACCAAAACAAAACATCAATTTTAAATAATGAAAGGCTTAAAAAAGGATGCTGTCATTCTGGCTTTTTTTTTCCTTTTGGAAATAGAACTAGACTAGTAAGTAAGCATTCCAAATCCATTACTCTGTGTACATTATTGTTGCTATTGTGATAATAGAGATTTTTATTTATTTTTATGCCAGCTTTTATTGTGAAAACATATTTAGTCTGGTTTTATCAATCCTTGTTATGCTTGTCCTTGGAACATCTTTTGCGTATTCAAGGTTTGTAGTTGATGAGTTTACTGTAAAAAACTAAAAAAAAAACACAAGGAAAAAAACCAAAAAAACACCAAAACAAAACAAAAAGGAAACAAAAAAAATGTATTGTTTTTACAGAATAAATTTATTGGAATGTGTATTGGGAGTAAGGTTTGAGGTTGTAAGCAACTAAGTTAGCGTCATATTTGGCTTCATACGTGTAATAATGTGAGGTATTAATGTAAGTCAAGTATTAAAGCAAAACATTCTGTTAACATGAGTTGACCATAATAGATACAAGTGCAGGTGAGATCTTTATTTTTTCTGTACTTTGCCTTTTCTGGATAACAGGAGGTCATTAAATTCACCTTGAATGTATTCAAAGTTTCTTTCCAGACATCAGAAGTAACAGCAGAGGCTCCATACCTGTTTGTGAGCCACCCGTCCTGTGGGAGCCCGGCAGCCCAGCTGGGTTTGTTCCCCTGGCAAGAAAGAGGCACTGGGATGGAGCAATCCCAAAGCCTACGGAGCTGCACCAGGGATGCTGGGTGCCAACAAGCATTGCCTGAGGTGTGCTGTGGGTGTTTTGGACCTGCCCCTTTGGCTGGAGGTGTAAAACCTGGGGCCTCTCTGAGTGCTGCTGGGAGCTGCACGGCAGTGTTCAGCAGGAGAGTGTTACAGCCTGCATTTCTCAGTGCCCTGAAGGTCCCTTCGGGCAGGGTGCAGCACACAGGCATGTCAGCTGCTTCCTTGTTACTGATCAGACTTAAAAGTAAAATTCTTTCAATCCAAACACCAAGAAGTCAACAAACCCAAATAAAGTGTTTCCAGTTAAAACGTATCAGCTAGTTTCATCTGTGAGAAAGGCACTAGGTGTACTGCTTTTAATATAAATACACATAGAAGGCATAGAAATAGCTGTAATTGCAAATAGAAACGTAAGCTGCCCAAACCAAGGTCGCTGAGTTTGCTGCTGCTTGTTTCTGAGCCAGCAGCATTAGCAAAAGTAGCTGCAGAGACACAGCCAAAACCCCTCCTCTGGAAACGCACGAGTGGCCTGAGCCCAGTGGCTCACGGTCCTGAGCCCTCTGTGCCCAGCCACAAGGGCTGCTGAGCACCTGCTGGGCTTCAAGCAGGGGAGCAGTCCTTGCAGAAGTGAATCCTGAAGAGAATTAACAAAACTATATGATTTGCTTATCATATGTGGAGTCTTACTATAAGAGTTGATTGCTTCTTAAAAGATTTCTTGGGATTTTTAACAAGGTCGACCCACAAGGCATACTTTTTGACAAATAAAACATGTGCATGTGACAGAGTTATGTATGTTAATTTTTCATGCTTCACAATGCTGGCCTTCGTGTTGTGCAGTAGCTCTGTGCAGGGACTGCTAGCACTGCTATTCTTCAGTGTGCGGAGGCTAAACACTGACATCATTATTATTATTTAACTTCATGCAGTATTTCTAAAACTGTCAAAGCAGCTTACTTAAAAATAGCTGTGGGAACTGGCAATGCACTGCAAAGTCACAATGTTGAGAAGTGGTGCTGAAGGCAGTTGTCTTTATTTTCCCTTTTTCAGTAGGATAAACAGAGCAGACCGTGCGACTACACAGTTGTGCAATTTTACACATCTTACACGCTTCATTTGGGTTCCATCTGAGCAGTTCAGTTACATCCCAACCCAGTTATATACATAGCCAAGGACAGGAGCTGGAAACAGTTCTGCTATTCTGGTTTTTCTTCTTGTTTTGGTTTCATGAAAAACTCTGGCTTGTTGACACACCTGTAAGCGAACAGCTGAGGAAGAATCCCATACATTATGTTCAAGATCAGGAAAAACTCTTTTGCTTCTTCAGGGACTCTGTAGATGTAAGGAGTTCGAGCATGAAGAGAAGCACCAATATAGGAAAATTGAGCCTGTGGTGTGTATATAACACATATATTAAAAAAAGGTAAAGTTGATGTATATTTTTGGAAAGATGGCACAATCTGCATTCAAGTCTGCATCTCCAGTGACATTTTCCAAGCCAGCCCTTATTCTTATTCCAGAATTATCCATCATACTTTTGCACAGTGGTATAAAAATACAGCCTAAACTAAAATCATTAGTATCTTGGTGTATGAGGCATAACTGGAACCATCAGTGGCATGGTAAGAGGTTTCTTTATGCACATGGTGGCAGTGATAATTTCATCAGGTACAGGATTCCACCCTGGCTTTCTGGGTCACAATTTGTGCATGATCCTTCCCCAGAAAAGTGGCCACTGAAGGGCACATCCCTGCAGAGCCCAGTCAGGGGGAGGGCTCTCACCCACCTGCCTGGGAGGGTTGTTGGGAGTTTGGCATCAATGGGAGCAGCCAGACACTCTGAGTAAAGTTAGAAAGGAGAGTCCTGGAACCTCTGTTAGTTCTGGTTTGGGTTTGGACTTTTTAATCTTAAACCCAGATTGTTCCAGATTCTGATCCCACAACTCCTGATGATTTCAGAAAATGTCTGCAATATTTGGCTTTTAGGCTGGGGCTGGTTTGAAGTATAGACTGAGCATACAGTGAAGGTTATAGGCACAGACAGGCTTGCTGGCCTGAAGCATATTTTTAGCATAAACAAACATTTAAAGATAGAAGTGTCAGGATAGTCGGTGTCTTTTGTTTCCATCTGTTACCTGCTATTTCAAGCCACAGCTCATTCACATTAACTATTGTGTGTCCAATTTTTTTCATTACTATTTAGTTAGCTAGCAGTGGAGGAGATCTGAGAAGATGAACATCAATTTGATCATAAGGAGAGCACTGGGACATCAGGATTTTAGGAACACAGAGGAACGCTATGGCCAAATCACATCCTCTGTTCTGGCTTCAGCAGGAGTCATTTTGGCCTCACATAGAACATGGTTCTGTTCACAGCAGAGTGGAAGGGGAAATAAAGTGCAGGTATTTCAATCCACCACCCCAGCAAAAGGTGAGGCTGAGACCATCCATCAAAACAGAAACAGAAATTGGTTTTCAGGTGATTCCAACCACCTCAACTGAATTGGGAGAGCTCATTGAGCAAACCTGAGCCAGGAAACAAAGTAATCAACGAAATCAAATACAAACACACTTGAGCAGAGTGCCACTTAGCATGTTTCTGTAAATAGCTATTGCACAGCAAACAGATGTTCAGGGGCACACTGTCAGCCTTTTTATATCGGCCTGGTAATTCACTGTCTCTTGCAGCCTGTTTGCTCTCACCTGCCCCAGGCAGGCCCTGCCTGTGGCCCCTGGGTGGGCTGGCTGAAATCCCTGCTGCCTGAAATCCTGCTGGGGAGCCTCCTCAGCCCAGGCAGCCAGGGCAGCTCAGCAGCAAAGCCCTCTCGTAGCAGACTCCAGACAGACAGACAGAGCTGCCAGCAGGCTGCAGGCAGGAGTTTGGGCTGTCTGGTGTTCTCCCAGACACTGAGAGCCTCTGGGTTGCATTTTAGAGCCTTGTCTGGGTGAACAGGCTGCAGAGCTGCTCCTTCTCTGTGGAGGATTGGGAGGCCTGCCTGTCTGCAAGAGTGGCCAGCTGTGCATCAGAGCAAGCTGACAGTAAATTTCTCATCATTCATAGTAAACCTTGTCAGAAGGAGCTGTAAGGGGATGCTTCTGAGAGACCCAGAACTCCCAGAGCCCCCAAGATGCCTGAGCCTTACTGTGTGGTCTTGTCTCTTACAGGAGTTGTGGCACATTAGTGAGCTTTAATTGTTGTAAAACCAAAAAGCAGTAACATGATGTCCTGTCTGTAGCCTACAAAGATTTTTATTGGTTAATGATGTACCATATAATGAAGTTATTGTTTATTAGACTTGTTTTTCACTGTAGCACATGGCTTCTTCTTTCATTACCAAGGAGGATATTTAGGTCTGTAAAGTCTTATTCTTTTTTTTTTTAATTTATTTGATTTGCCTCTGTGAAAATTGTGTTATGTCTTTAATCTCCTGTGTTTCTCTTACCATGACTGTTCTCTGCTGCTACTTCTTTTTTTTTCTTTCCCCTCTTTTTTTCTTTCTTACTTGGAGCAGGGGATATGTCTTAAAAGCAGATCTCTCACTCACCAGTGGCCCAGTGCTGCTCTTTCTTCAGGCAGACTGGCAGCAAACCCCTAATTCTGAGCTGTCAGTGCCTGCAGAGCTCTGTGCCTGTGTGCAGCAGGCTGGTGCTCAGTGAGAGAAACCCTGAGTCTGTTGTGTTACCTCGCTGTGACTGGGGTCTCTCAGCAAATAAGCCATTCCTCGGTGCTTTGTGTTACTGATCCCCTCTCCAAGTGGAGAATTTTGAGGCTCCAACAAATCTCTGAGCCTTGGCTGAGAAATCAACCAGATGAGATGCTGCAGGTAACCTTCTAAGGTAGCCCTACATGCCCAACATGCAGCCTTTGTCACCCCTGAAGCCTTGGCCACTCTGCTCCCTGGCATTCCCAGCAGGTGGAAGCTGCTGGATGTGTCTTGGCACTGCACTCTGTGTCTGCCTGCTTCTCACTGACCTGCTTGTCTGTATGAAGCAGTCTGGATTTGGACTTTTTACAATAGTTTTTGCCTTGTTGCCTAATCATAGGTAGTATTCCAGGTATTTTTTACCCTGCAGTTAAGGACAGAGAAGGACCCGGAAAAAGGTTAGGAGTCCTTCTTCACTCTGTGCCTTCTCTCTAAGACTGAGTAAAATCAGGCAAAGACTGTAACTTTGGAAGGGTTTGGACCTGGTCTCATGAGCCTAACAAAGCCAACAAATAGAAGGGGTGTAACCTAGAAAAATACATGCCTTGGGTTTAGGGTCTCTGGTAGACAAGAAACACTGCAGAAAGTAGCCACAAAAAAAAGCAGGGTTATGGAAAACACTAAGAGGGAATAGAGGTAAACTCTACAATTGAGAAAACAGAAATGGGCTGCAGAGAGTTGGTGAAACTGATTTTGGCCAGTAAGGCTGTGGCTCTTCATCCCTTCTCACATGGCTCAATTGCATAGGGAAATACCAGTTCTATTAAGTTCAGAGGCTGTTCCAACCCTTTTGTATAATCAAAGCTCCCAGTACTTCACTCATATGAAATTCAAAGAGCTCCTCCTGAAGCTTCAGAAAGTCTAGTAATTATTGGGTCCCAACTGGTTTTGGAGTCTGAATGTTAGTAATGGAGTCATTCCAGCTGAGTTATTTGTAATTCTGAAAATCAGTAAATGTGTGTCTGTGTGAAAGGCTAGTAGGCACTTTGGAGGTTCTTAGTTTAGATGCATCACATGGTATTTTGTGACTTGTTTTTGTAAAAAGTACATCATAATGATAGAAATAAAAATAATTAAAATCTCCACGTTCCCCATCTGTAGGAGCAGTGTTCATTCCCAGGGAGCAGTGCCCACTGCTTCCACCACC